TTCTCTTCTCTTCTCTTCTCTTCTCTTCTCTTCTCTTCTCTTCTCTTCTCTTCTATTCTATTCTATTCTATTCTATTCTATTCTATTCTATTCTATTCTACCTGGGGGTTTATTCGCCAAGGGAGTGTTCTTCCACCTGGTGTTTATTGCTCCAAATCATGACGCCATGTGCCTTAAGGAGACACGGTTGGGTTTCAAAACGCAAAGGAGCAGAAAGGATCCTTCAAATATGTTGGTGAGGTAACCTGTTTATGCGCGCACACAAAGTCTGCAGGGCTAAGTATAAACATGTGTCGTGCCAAGGGGTGTTAAGTTATCTGTAAACATTTGAGCTTAAGCTGGCTCTGTTTTTCTGTTCAACAATTGTTTTGCTCCCGCAAAGCGACGGTCATTGTACAAATCAATAAAACTGCAAGTCCACTTAAACAGACGCCAAGTTACTTGGCCAACGTTTAACAGATAATCAGAGTTGGAAGGGACCTTGGAGGTCATCTAGTCCAGAGGTCGCCAACCTTTTGGACGTCAGGGACCACCAGATAACAACCTTGTAGATCGTCTAGTCCAAACCCCCGCCCAAGCGGGAGACCCTACACCATTTCTGACAAATGGCAGTTCAATCCCTTCTCGAAAATCTCAAACTCATCATTTTAAATCCCGCGGAGACCAGAGACCCTGGGAAAATCCCCCCAAAACTCTGCAAGAAAATTCCTCGCTCCGTTTTCCTACCAATCGATCATGCCTTATTTGGGATCGCAGGATACCGTCTCCAGCTCCGTTCTCGGTGGCGGCGGGAGGAGAGAGAGAGAGAAAGAGAGAGAGAGAGAGAGAGAGAGAGAGAGACTTTTGGCTTCATGCAAGGAAAGCAGAAGCCGCAGAAGTCTTTCTTTCTCTCCCCCAAACTCCGCCAGAAATGAGTCTTTGCCGACGGCGCCTCTTGGAGCAGGAGGCCTTGCAAAGACTCACTTCTGGCGGAATTTGGGGGAGAGAAAGAAAGACTTCGGCGGCTTTCCTTGCGTGCAGCCGAAAGCAGAAGAAGAAAGAAGCGGGGAGAAGTAGCCCAGTGGCCAGACCAGGCGCGTGGGGCGAGTGGGGCGAGTTCTCCCCGCTCCCCTCTTTCCCTCCTCCCCTCACTACCTCGTGTTGTTCGCAATGCAAGCGAACGAAATCAAACACCATCTTCAGTGAACATCGTGACCATGAAAATAAACACAAACACACATCCTTCGCGCTCCACATTAATTGCTTTGGGGGGGTGTGACGTTTCTCTGCGGACCACCACAATTTTCTCACGGAACACCAATGGCCCACTGGTTGGCGACCACTGGCCTAGCAGGGGACCCTATACCATTTCTGACAAGCAGGTGACTTATGGCCAGATCAGAATTCAGCGGCTTGCCAACTGACTCATATTTACGACGGTTGTAGTGTGTGTCCCTTGGGTCGTGTGAGAAGATCCCCTCTTGCGACCCAACAAGGTCAATGAGGAAGACGGATTCACTCAACAACCGCGTTACTAACGTGAATGGCGGTGACTCACTTAATAACCGCGGCAAGAAGGGTCGTAAAACGGGGCAAAACCCACTTAACAATCCTGTCAGTCACTAACAGAAATTTTGGGCTCCAATGTGGTCGTAAGTCAAGGACTACCTGTACAGTTTCCCCCACTGGTCCGTGAATGTTAATATTCATCATGTTTGAAGTTGAGAATAGATTTAATAGGAAGAAACACATAGGATGGAAAAGCCTCATTCATACCTAAACTATATTTATTAAGTTTATTATGGTAACACTCATAAATACACCAGAATACTCTGGACCAATGGCTCTTCGCAGCTCGTAGATGGGCAGACTTCAACTCAGCTGACATGCTTTAAAATAGATGGACTACAACTCCCAGAATTCCCCAGCCAGCATGCTTTGAGATGGGTGGACATCAACTCCCAGAATTCCCCACTCTGCATGCTTTAAGATGGGTGGACTTCAACTCCCAGAATTCCCCAGTCGGCATGCTTTAAGATGGGTGGACTTCAACTCCCAGAATTCCCCAGCCAGCATGCTTTGAGATGGGTGGACTTCAACTCCCAGAATTCCCCAGCCAGCATGCTTTAAGATGGGTGGACTTCAACTCCCAGAATTCCGCAGCCAGCAGGCTTTGAGATGGGTGGACTTCAACTCCCAGAATTCCCCAGCCAGCATGCTTTAAGATGGGTGGACTTCAACTCCCAGAATTCCCCAGCCGGCATGCTTTAAAATGGGTGAACTACAACTCCCAGAATTCCCCAGCCAGCATGCTTTGAGATGGGTGGACTTCAATTCCCAGAATTCCCTAAAATTCTGGATTTTAATTCCCAGAATTCCCTAGCCAGCAGCTTTTAAAATACATGAATTACAATTTCCAGATGTTAATACAGGAAGTCCGCGACTTACAATTACTTGTTTAAGTGCCCATTCTGAGTTACAAGGGCACTGAAAAAGTAACTTATGTCCATTTTTCACACTTAACGACCGTCGTAGCATTTCTCCACAGTCATGTGGTCAAAATTTGGACGCTTGGCAACGGACTCATATTTATAACAGTTACAGTGTCCCGGGGTTACGAGATCCCCTTTTGCGACCGTCTGACAAGCAAAGTTAATGGGGGAAGCCAGATTCATTTAACAACGGTGCTGCTCATTTAACGACCGCAGCAATTCACTTAACAACCGTGGGACGAAAGAGCGTTAAAATGGGACCACATTCACTTAAGCAAGAGATATGTGGGGCTCCATTCCATAAGCTGAGGACTACCAGTAGACCAAGCCACAAAACAGCGTTAAACGAGGTTCCATCATGATTTGGGCTTAGTTGTCGTTCCGCCTCTCCAACATGGCAGTGAAGAACTACGCCATTACCAGGCGATGCTAAAGCATTTTGCCCAGCACTCTTGGAGTAGCAGCTGAGCTGGAAAGGAGACCACCAAGTAACTCTCTTTTCCAACCGCAGTCTTAAAAATCCTATTTATATTCCTTCGAGGGGAAAAAAAATGTCACACCTGTTTCAAAACAGTGTCGCTTGAGAAAAGCTGAACATTGTAGAGGGACGATTTGCGGGACACCCCAAAATGCCCATTTTTATTTTTTATTTTTAAAAGTTTTATTAAACGACTAAACAAACACAAAGACGGACAATTCTTACAATAAAAAGCTGAACGTGGTACAGTCTCCTTAACATCAATCGTTGTCATTACTTCGCTAAATCCAATAGTAATATTACATAATATTTCATAATATTACATATTACATAATTCTATACACTTTAAATAGAATATATACAAATAATCATTCCTTATTCTCATTGATCTTCCTTGTCTCTAGCCAACCATAAAACTTCTCCCATGTTTTATAATAATCCGAATCTACCCTATTTTTTAGTTCTTTTGTTAGTTTCTCCATTTCTGCGCACATTGTGATTTTCTTCGATATTTCCAATTCATTTGGGACGTCTTTATTTTTCCAATTCTGTGCATATGCCAACCTTGCTGCAGTAATTACACGAATCATTAAGTAGAGTTTCTTTATCGTATTTCCCAGTGTTAATTCCTAACAAAAAGAACTCAGGCCCGTATTGTATTTTAATTCCACACATTTCTTCTATCCACTTATGTAAATTTTGCCAATATTTTTGGGCCTCCTTGCAACTCCACCATAAGTGATAGTAAGTTCCTATTTTTTTTATTACATTTCCAACATATAGGAGAAAATTTAGAGTTCATTTTTGCTAATCTTGATGTGGTATATGTCATCTATAAAATAATGTATACAGATTTTCTTTAAAGGGTATCGCTAATGTCATTTTTTAAATTTCTATTCCATAGTTTCTGCCAATCATCTTAATTTTATGCTATGACCGAAGTTTTTCATCCATACCACCATTGTTTCTTTTACTTTTTCTTCTTCTAATTTAAATTCTGATAAAACTTGATATATTTTTTTTGAATCATCTTCTGGTCAGGTCCTAATAATATTTCATCTAGGTTTGTCCTAGTTTTACTAATTCCCCATTCTCTCTCATCTTTTAAGTGTTTTGATTGGAGTTGCAAATAGGGCCACCATTCCACTTTGACTCCCTGGTTCTTCGCCTCTTTTGTAGTTCTCCTTTTTCATTTAGTATCTCTTCAGAAGTAATAATTTTCCTTTGGCACAGAAGGTGCGGGTGCATCAATGTTTTACTGTTGATAGCCAAATAGGAGTTTCTATATACATTTTGTCTTTTTGTCTTATTCCAAGGGTTTAAAAGGGAATTTTTGGGGTGTGTGTGGTGGGGGGACACGCCCGAAATTCCTGGGGCCCCGCAGGCCGCTCATTGACAGTAAGACAGGAACTCGGCGAATTTCGCGGGGATGTGAAGATGGGGGATTTTCTCCAGAGCTTTTCGGCCGAGAGCCTGACGTAGACTGAGACGACAAAGCTGAGATAGCCGCAGGGGATTTCCTTGGCGCGTTGGGAGAAAGAAAACAAGACATTAAATGACGTTCATTTAAATGGCAAATACACGTGAGGCAAATCAAAGGTGGCCGTTTGAAGACTTGCGGACTTCAACTCCCAGAATTCCCCTTAATAATAACGAAGAGGATTGCAGAACCGTTGCAGGATCTGGGTTTGGCCGGCCTAGAGAAAGGAAGGACTGTGGTGGGGACATGAGAACAATATTCCAGGATTTGAGGGGCTGCCCCAAAGAAGCGGGTGTGTGTGTGTCAAGCTATTCTCCAAAGCACCAGAAGGCAGAGCAGGAAACAACGGGTGGAAACTCATTGAAGAGGAAAGAGGAACCTGGAACTAAGGAGGAATTTCCTGACTCTGAGAATAATTAATCTGTGGAACTGCTTGCCACCAGAAGTTGTGGGTTCTCCGTCACTGGAGGATTTTAAGAAGAGGCTGGACAACCCTTTGTTTGGAATGGTTGAGGGTTTCCTGCCTGAAGGTTGGACTAGAAGACCTCCAATGTCCCTTCCAGCTTCTATTATGATTGAGTTTGGGTTGATCCAGGCTCTGGTGTGCAGAAGAGAGGGAGGGAGGGAGGGAGGGAGGGAAGGAGGGAGGGAGGAAAATATCGGGAAGGAAGGAAAGGGAGGAAGGAAGGAAGGAAGGAGAGGGAAGGAGGAAGAAAGGAAGGAAA